AAAAAAAAAAAAAAAAAAAAAAAAAAGGAAAAAAAAAAAAAAAAAAGAAATTTGGATTCTTTCTTGGATATTCCATTTGACAGAACTTCCTTTAAGTTCTATGGGAAAGGCACCCATGCCTAATTTTCCAGGCTGAGACCACATTCCCTTCTTTTTATGTTTCTTTAGTAATTCTAATGGGAACCTGAAGAGGATGTAGTTAAATGCGTGTGTTTCATTTGCCATCTTGATCCAGAAGTTCTCTTTCCATATTATTGCATTTAAAGGCCCTTTCTGTCCTGCTCATGTCAGGGTAGCAGCAGGGATCACCTGGCAGGGAGCAAAATAAAAGGAGTCAGGTGGTTCTGGGAGATAAGCTGGAGTTTGTGTAGGGGGGGTGATGTTTAAGAAATTTGCAGTAATTGAGGGTAAGGAATGGATCGGGGTCACAAATACAAGAAAACAGGGATTTCATGGGTCAGAAATTCATGACTACAGATTTTCAGGGTTAGTCAGATGCATGAAATATGTTTGTATCTTGGGAGATACGTAACATGTGGAAGAGGTGACAGGTCTCCTTGGGCAGGAGTTCAGGTGTGCATCAGGGCTTCTTTGGAGGGAAAGGCAAGTCTTTGGGATTAGGAATACACCAGCATTCTGGCAGATGGACCAATTACACCAGGGCAAGGGCAAGGTGTTCTTGGAGGTGACTCTCATGCTCTGGGCTCCTTCTGCACATATCCCTGTCGAGGTAGACCAGAGAGACAAGTTAAGTAGCAGGGCCGCTACAGCTGACTGTGGTTTTGCAGGGAGGTTCTGAATTCCCTTTGGGAAACTGCGACTGTGGATTTCTTTTAGTTCTGAAAGAGTTCTAGTACCTATTCATGTCCCAGGCTCTCCCTTGGGAGGGCAAGGGACCCTGAGGAAGAGAGTTAGAACAGGAGGGAGGTACACGATACCAGCTCAGTCTCCCTGGGTACCTTGCCCTCCCTTCTCCAGGACCTGGTCCTAAAAGTTCTGGTGCTCATAGGTCCCTTGAGTGGCTTTTCAGCCAGGTCAGAAGCCACAGCCTGACCTTCTGAGGAGGGCACTAAAGAGGTGTAGACACAGGAGGAAGATGTCCTCTATCAAGAAGGTCACAGGGCCAGCTGGCAGGTAGCTGCAGAGACAAAGTCTAGAATCGAGCAAAGTCCTCCCTAAGAAATACAGGAATTCACCCTGCCCTCCCCCCAACCCTGCAGGACTACCTGGGATCCTGCATCCTGTGTGAGCCATCCCTGACCTCTGACCTAGGTTTTATGCCCTAGGTCACTTCTTTCTTATCCTGGCTGCCTTGGAAAATCTCTCTTCTGCCTGTCTATTAAGCTGCCCACCTGACCCTGAGGCCCAAACCTTGACAGTGCAGTTGGGTGTGCACACCTGTTGACCATGTCTTCGGTGCTACTCTGGATCTAGACCAGCCTAGTGAGGAAGCTCAGGCACTGGTCCTACTCCAAGTGAGTTCCACCAACCTAGGAGCCATTTCCACGTGCCCTATCAGGCCACATGCACAGAATCATTGCTCATATCCCCTTCAAAATCTAAAAATTGTAGCCTATGCCTCCAAGCTGCCTTTTTCTGCTAATGGCCTTCATCCAGGAAGGCCTGTGCCTTGCGCAGCTCACACTTCCATCTGCACCATGAGAGAGGAAGTCCTTCTTGCCCTGCTGTTCCAGTTGTCTCCTCTGAGGTTCTGCTGTCAATGAACAAACTGATGGAAAGAAGTGAGGGTCAAGGGCAAAGGTTGGAGACGCGGCCCTTGGAAGAGATAAAGCCCTCGTCTTGTGCTCTGTTGTTGGGAGACACATACTGTTTTTATGTGGGGTTGAAAAGTAGAGGGTAAGAAGCCAATGACAGGCCCTCATTCCCCAATGGCATTGTTCTATCCTATTTCACGCATGCCCAGTCCCACCCGGTCACCTCAAGAGTACATTCTTGATTCTGTATTAGTCTGTTTCTGTTGCTTATAACAGAATACCTGAAACTGGGTAATTTATAAAGAACAGAGGTTTATTTGGCTCACGATTCTGGGACAGCTGCATCAGGCATGGGCCTCAGGCTGCTTCTACTCATGGCAGAAAATGGCAGGCAGCTGGCGGGTACAAGCAGATCACATGGCGAGAGGAAGCAATAGAGGGAGAGAGGAGGTGCCAGGGTCCTTTAAACAATCAGCGCTCTCACGGGAACTAATAGAGCGAGAACTCACTCACTACCCACCCCCCAGACAGGGTCCTTTAAACAATCAGCTCTCACGGGAACTAATAGAGCGAGAACTCACTCACTACCCACCCCCCAGGGACAGCATTAATCCATTCATGAGGGATCCGCCACCATAACCCAAACCATTCCCAACATTGCCAAGTTGGGGATCAGATTTTGACATGAGCTTTGAGGGGACAACACATCCAAACTCTATCAATTAGGTAAAAGTGAAAAAAACCTTTCAAACACACATATACACTAGAGGACATAAAAGGGGTCTTCAAAAATTTCATGGAAATATTCATGTTATACTTTAATTTCATTTTCCATGAACTTTTTGAAGTCCCCTAGGGGTGGGTCAAGAATATCATCCATACATAAAAAGGACAGCACATTTGTCACGTCTAGACAGAATCCTAAAGGATGGGGATTTAATGGTTTCTCTTTGGACTTTTCCAAAGTGGTGGCCTATGGTTGTTTCAACTGTTTCTAATGTCAGGACTTCTCTGGCTACAGGGAATAAAACTGCATTAGAATACGCTAAAAATTTCCCTTGGCCTAGTATGAAAATGGACATACACTGTGTGAGGTGTTCCTTACAATCTATTTTATTAAGGCAGCTCTTTCATAAATTCTCCAAAGTCAACTCCTTGATTATATACACATACATCACATGTTATCAAAGATATCCACTTATCACACACACAAAGAAATACAAGACACATGTACGTTCAGTGTCTTAACAACTCCCCCTCTATAATCCAGGTACTGTCATTTCTTTCTCTTACGTATATCTTGAATCCATTTTCTTTACCACACAAAGGCTGTGACCACGACTCCCTGAAGCTACTGCAGTAGCCTACTAGTCTACCAAAACATACACTCAAAACAGGCACAAGTGCACACACAAAATACACTGACACAAGTATGCACACAGATCCCCAAACCAAACAGAAACACACAGACTCATACACGTGTGGGAACATACATATAAAAGTAGCCATATCCATAAACGCATAAGAACACGAATGCACACACACATGCACACATCCACACAGTCTATGAGCTCTTCATTCTCCGTGCTGATGGTCAGGGTTCACGATGGAAATGCTGATCCATTGGCTACTCCAACTGAATTTATTATTATTTTTTATTATGAGGTCAACTCATACTCGATAAGCATGTATTTGACAGTAGGCAGCTTCGAAGCAAACTCTAAAACCATGTTCTTAGACAGTCACACACCCCTCTCTTTTCAGTCCTCACTTTCTCCCAGATGAGTAAGGACAGTATCTTGGGATGCAGGAGGGAAGGGGAAAGTTCGGAGCATTCACATAGAGATGAATGGGTGAGTGCTGAGCACGCTTTGCATCCTGTAACATACATAGTCTGTGAAATGTGTCAGTTTTACCTTGAGGACATCTCCTTCAGAGAGTTCGAATGCCCTGGCTTTAAGCTGAATCCCCTTCCCCGGCTGGGTCTGGATGGAGTAGATGCATTCGTGATTGTTATTGTAGTTCACAGGAAAGTTGGGGGACAGCAAAGTACCCTGAGTGCCCGTGACTGAATTCCCACACTCAGCTGGAAAGAGAATCACAATAGTCACAGATTAACCCCTATCAGCTGCAACCAGAAAACAACTCAGTGCTCTGGAGAACCGGACAGAGATGACATGTCGTTTGCCTGTCTATCTGCCAACAGGCCTGCTCATCTGTCCATTTGTCTGCCTATCAAATTTTTTTAATACCTGCCTACTTATAGTTCTGCCTGGTTTCTTTACCTCTCTTGTTCTGTTTGTCTGTCTCTCATGCAGAAACAGAAACTAACCCACCAGGCACCCTTTGCTTTCACAGTGTGATAATGCAGCAGCCGTTCTCCACACCTGCTCATACAGTATCATAGCAACAGAAATGGCCGAGGGGGACATCAGGGGAGGAGGGGACAGCCGAGTGAGGAAAGCTGAAGACTTTCAGTATCAGAGGGTAGAAACTAAGAGGGGGACAAGATCGAATAATCGTTGCTAGTCCTCATGTGTAAAACATGATGACAGACACTTTACAAGAATCATCTCAGTCATTAGTCACAACACCCAACCCCATAAGGTAGGCACAATGATCATCCCCGGCTTAAAGGTAAGGAACCTGGGACTTAGCTAGCAATTTAGACCAAGTCTCCCAATTATGAAGAGGAGGGGACTGAGAACTCAGCGTCCTTGGTCCTGGAGTTTAGGGCCTGCAAGGCTCCAAAAGAAGTTTTAGCATAGTCCCATCAAAGCTCTGTTTCATTCAACAGCTAATGAGATCCCACCTTCCTCTGGAAATCTGTTTCTCCTCCTCCAGAATTAGTCATCCTTTCCCTGTTGTTACCATACCTTTATTTATAGCAGCCATCACATTTTTCTTAGCTTACTTGTTAACGTTTCTGTCCCCTCCACTGAACTATGGATTCTTTGGGACTTGGTCATATTCCTGCCTCCTCAACACCCACTCATGCCTGGCCAGGCAGGCTCAGCAGACGGAACAGGGCAGCTCCGTGTCAGGGCATGCACTGAGCAGCCCTGCAGTCGGCTCTCGGATCTTTAATCATTGTGAAGCCCCTCTCTGTGCGTCTCTGTGTCACAGCACCTACCACATGGTACCCTGACGACTTGTTACCTGCCTGTATCTCCCACCCAAACTGTGAGTTACTTGAGGGCTAGGGTCATGCTTGATGAATCTATGAATTTCCAAGTCTTCACCCAGATTGTCTGTAAAATAAATATTTGCAAATGAATGAGTGAATGAATATGGAGTACACTGACCTCAGAAGAAGTACAGTCCTAAATATAATTAGGTTCTGGGAGGATATAAATACAAGTCCAGATGGCAGGCCCATTATTTGTCTGGACATATGGGGAGTTTGGAGCACATCTTGAATCTTTGAGGTTGATGGTAGCAAGTCTGCTTTTTCCAAACCATCCCTCCTTTGCTGGGAGGACCCTGAGGTTGACCAAGGGGCCATTGCTTTGACCATGTAGTCAACCCTACTTACCCTAAGCTGGGAGCATACTAGGTTGAAGCAGCATAGAGGGAGCCCATGGAAACATTCTCATGAGCCTCCTGGGGGTTAGTTATATGCTTATGTGCTCTCTTGTCCCCAAGGCTTCTCCTCAGTCCTTTGAAGATGGGGTCCATGTCCCACCACCAAGTCCCTACTTTTCAATGGGCCCTAATCCCTGGGTCCTGTCCTGTTCAGGACCAGCTTCAGTTTCCTAAACTTTACACAGGTCTTTGCTTATTTATCTCAGAGGAGAAATCTAGCTTTACGATACTTTAAGCTCAGCCTGTGTACAAAACAACCAAATATCATAATGAATGTGTTGATCTGGGGCACAAAACTAAAGGGACAGTGGTGGACAGCACCCTGGGGGCAGTGGATGCTGACAATTTAGGTAGATATGTTTCTAGAGTGTGTACATTTCCTGGTGCCTTCAGATGAGGGTTAGGTCTGGGCGGGTTACTGAGGGCTGTGCACATTTAAACATTTATTATTCAGGCACATCACATGGGCAGTCCTCTGAAGCATCTCTCCATTTTCTGGGGTCACACATCCTCCCCTTCATCTAGGCAGAGGCATCTGGTACAGTGGGATGAGCATGGACTTTGGAGTTGGACCCACAAGTTATATCAACTCTCTGATCTGGACAATAATGGCATCCTCGTAAGACTGTAGAATAAATGCACGAAATTTTGTTTGTGAAACCGGTGAACACGTGGGGTGTGGTTAGCACACAGTAGGCCCTCAACCAGTGTTGTTCCCCCTCTCTTTCCCCATCTATCCCAAGTGATTCTATGTGGCTTACCTGCTTCCCTCTGGAGCCCTAACTACCTGTGCTCTGGGACTGGCAGAAAGTCTGAGAAGCTTATGGAAAGCATGTGTTAGCTGCCTGAGGTTCACGGTGTCCTCACAGTTCCTGATGCCTCTTGCCCTCTGCCTAGCTCCTGACAGGTGGTTCCCTTAAACATGGGCTTGGGCATATTACTGGACCTCCTTCCCTGCCCTGGCTTCTTTCATGTTCGCTATGTGCCCCATCTCCGTCCCAGTTTTCCCACGTGCCCAACACTTTTATGAAGAGGGTGATGGGGCTGACAGCTTTAGAGGGGGCCAGTTCTGGACCAATCGCCAGGTCTTTGTCATGGGCACCAGGGAGGGTACAGAAGTGTGGAGGGTACATGTCACTTGCTTCTGGGAGAGTTTCCAAAGTAACAGGGGAGGTAAGCAGATGCACTGAGAAGCCAAACACAGGCATAAATGAAAACAAATAAATGTTCCAGAAAACAAACAATCATATGCACAGGAAAGTGCTGCCTCTGATTCAGGCATCTGTGACTTCTGTCGTCCCCATCAGAAGAGGTTTCGTTAAGGGCAGAGGCTGTATCTTATCCATCAGTCTGGGGCTCCCGAGGCAGAAGGTGAAGGCTTCTCTATCACACTGGGGCTCCTGAGGACAGGGCCATGTCTCCTGCTGCAGACTTGGGTCCCCTGGGGTCAGGCCTGTCTCTTCCACATCAAATTCAGGGGCTCCTGAGGTCAGGGCTGTATCACCCTGTCGCAGCATGAATTAGAGCCCAGTGCTGCTCATCTCCTTCTCAGCTGGGGTGTTCATGGTAATACTGTATGGGCTAAATCATCCAATTTACACCTACAGTGCACACACCAGCTGGGAGCATCCCCCGGTGGGTATTCCCGCGATACCTCCAGCCTGAGCCTCTGCAGCAGGGCTGGTGGTAATTAGAAGTGATTATAATTGCTGTGCGTTATTAATATCATGTGAAACAGAAGACAAATGTAATAATGAAAATATCGTGAGGTGTCATGAACAAACGGTAATTGGAATAATAAGTTAAAGAATGAGTTTATGTAATGAGATCAATGAGGCAAGAGCTTAAGGGCTTGTGCATCTGTTGTCCTGGACAATCCTATTCAAGAAAAATTTCTCCCAGAACCACTAGCTGAGGACGTTTTCCCAGAGACTAAAGGAGCTGTTTGCAGCCAGATAACATGCTGACCCTCCCTGGGGGGGGAGAGTTCTAAGTGTGCCTGAGTGTGTGTGTCCAGGTCAGGGTGCGTGGATGCTTTGGGGGATGATTCCAGGAGAACAGATAAACTTGGGGGTTATTTAATTGGTCAAAAATGGAATTCGGTGACTCTTTGCCTTAATGCTTCTTTTCTGAGATTGTAAAGGGTTATTGGCAAAATAATGACACTCGGTTATAGATAAATAATGGCAAAACGTTTACTGGCAAAATAATGACAGTTATATGGCACTTCCTGGTTTATGTGAATTATAGGATCTAATCTAGATTAAGCTTGTGGGTTGGGTGTTGTTATCTCCCTTTTATAAATGAGGAAGCTGAGGCCGAAGGGGTTTGGTGGCCTGCCCAAGACCTAGCCACTGGTGAGTGACAGAGCAGGGACTGGCCCGTGGCCTATCTAAGCAGTCTTCTGCAGAGCCCCATAGACTTACCTCAGGCAGAGCTGACCTCACGGGCTTTCAAGATAGGCTGGTCCATGTTTTATTCGGTGCAGTGCTGCTTTTCTTGTCTTTTTTTAAATTGGGTTTTATGTAATATTCCACTTTAAGCAAGTTCCACGGCTAACAGTGAGCACGGTAAGTCCTCTACTAATCCAGCCTGTGTTTCATCCGGCCCATATTAAGCAAGCAGAGCCATGAGCCTTGTACATTAGGGACAGCCAGCAGTTGTCCCCGCTCCCTACTTCCGCTTACCCTCCAAGGCTGGAGCTCTGAGGAGCCTTTTTTAGAGCTCTGGCAAGGAGACAGGCAGGGCCTGGTTCCGACCTCCAACCAGCTACCTCCCTAAACTCATCATCTCCCGTTCTCTCTGTCACTCGCTCCAGGCTGGGCTCCGAGCTGTTCCTCCCACACTGAGCATCATCATGGCTTGGGGTCTTGGCACTCTGCTCCCTCTTTCTCGAGATATCCGAGTGTTTGGCTCCTTGAATTACTTTAGATCTCTGCTAAAATGTCAACTCATCAGAGAGGCCTTTCCTAACCCCTCTTTATAAAAGAGCAACCCTACCTCCAGCGCTTTCTAAGCTGACAAGTTTCTTCTGAATCCCTCCACACTGCCCGACACACATACCTATTTGATTACAGCTTGTGTCCCCCCATCAGAATGTGAGACCATGAGTGGAGAGACTTTCTCTGTTTTGTTCACTTTTGTATATGCAGAACCTCTCAGTGTGCCTGACATGAAATGGGTGCTCCATAAGTGACCAACACCTGCTCCCCCCTCCTCCCCAGCTGAGTGGAGGAAGTCTTCCCAGGGATTCTCCAGGAGTGAGCACCCTCACTGGACTAGTAAAAGCACCCATCTACCCTGCTAGATTGGGACTCCCTATGGGCAAAGGTCATATCTGCTTCCTATGGGCCCACCCAGTGCCCCTCCAGATTTCTTTGCAAGAGGCATCCTGAAGCCATGGGTTTGTGTGTTAAAGGTGGGGAGGTGAGAGTATTGATGTCGACTTCATTAGAGTGCCCACTGCAGATCCCCTTTGGAAAGTCCAGTTTAGTCTACATAACAGCCCCACGAGGCAGGTATTGCCAACCTTACTTTACAGACAAGGAGGCTGGAACAGAAGGAGGTTAGGTCCCCCTCTTGATCTGTGTGCAGTCCACCACCTCACACCAATTCACTAAAATTTGGCCCACCCCGTTAGTGAAGCAAAATGAAAGCACGTGACCACCTACCAACACACCTTGGCAGAGGCGAGCTCCACAGGCGCCGTCTGCCCCCCAGGCACGTGATGCGGGCGGTGCCCTCCAGACGGTACCCAGGGAAGCAGGAGAAGGTCAAGGTGTCGCCCACGCCAAACTGCAAGCCCTTGCGGATGCTGTAGGCCGGGACCTCGGGCTCCTCACAGGGCTCCAAGTCATACTCTGGAAAGGCAGCAGGAAAGTTGGGCTCAGAGACATCTCGGGGGGACGCAGACTTAGACGAAGGGAGCACACAGACCAAAACTCCAGGGGGAGAGGGCCAGAGACAAAGAAAAGCAGAGGTGCAGGACATGCACACAGTGGTCCCCAAGAGGTGAGGAGGACAGAAAAGAGAGACGAGAGGAGCTGTGGCAGAGACGCAGGGGGGCCGAGCCTGGAGGCCTGAGCCCCCTCGGGTGAGCCATGGATGGGGCGCAGCATTTCTGAGAAATGCTTCCTGGAGGACTTGGGAGCTTCCTCATGACCAGACCTTTCTGTCCTTTTCCTTTCATCTCCAGTTGAACCCCGGGCCTCTGGGCTCACAGTCTTCCCTGCCTTTCTCTCTGGGCACTGCACCAGACAAATTCAACCTGCTGACTTCAGAGTGAAAGGACTCCAAACACTTAGCCTGAAGCTACGTCCTGGCAATGCTTGCACCTGAGGCAGGGGGCAAGTGATTATCCCCTTGTCCCCAAGGGACTGTGGTGAGAAGGAGGGTCTCTCTCAGATGGGTTGAGGCACACTGACTGGATATGTCCCACTGGCCAGGCCAGCCCGGGCTCGGGGCAGGTGACTTCTACATTGCTAAACTGGGCCATGTCCCAGTTCCTAGAGGGCGTCTTGCCCATCCCAGGAGGAATCTGTCTGCTATTTCTTCTTCTGGCCAACAGCAGGGGGTGGGCAGGAGACTGTGGGGCACAATGGGACAAGGCTGTGGGCGAGGCAGTACTAGAGGAGCAAAGGGTCCTGTTTTCTCCTTGAATGCCAAATGAAAGAGTTTTATTTTCAGGATTCCTAAATACAGAGATAAATATCTAGTCTAGTACTACTAAATTAGCATTGATGAAGAAGATCCCAAATGAGACTAAAACATTCCAATATGTTAATTACAAATCCCTTTCTTCTTTTTTTAATTGCTGGGGTTCAGGAGAAGAAGTTGGAATTAATAGGGCAGGAGGAGACTTCTGTGAAGTCCTCTAGTTCAACTAGCTGGGTAGGTCATGTTTGGAGCAAATCCTAAACACTTTCAGAGAAGGGGATTCCCCGGTGAACCTGCTAAGTCCTTCCAAGATCATTATCAGGAAGTTCTTCCTTATGTCTAACCCAGATATCTTTTGCTGCAGCATTGAGGTCATTCTCCCAGAGAATGGAGAGTGGATTAATATCCATCTGCTAGGAAGGCCATCTGGCAGCAAAGTGAGGGACAGAATACCTCCACGGTCCTTCCCCCCAGTGACCCTCACACTCTTTACCTGAGAAGGTGATGTTGAATCCTTCATATGACATGGAGAAATCAGAAATAAAGCGGACCTGGGCGGTAAAATTGCCATAGAGCCCAGCGCTTATGGGGGCTGGTAGCCGCGAGCCCGTCAGCTGCCTCAGGGGCTGGGTGAAGCTGCCGTTCTCGGTGATGAGGAGGTAGTCGTGGCCACTCTCCAGGTGGAAGGTGTGGAAAGTAAAGAACACACCTGCCAAGACACCAGCAGGGTCAGGTGAGATGGCTGAAGCAGCCCAGCTGCAAGACGGGATCAGCACAAACGTTTCCGATTTGCAAATGTCTGTTGGTGTGTGTAAGTACAAGCATGCATTGGTAGAAGATTCGGGCACATCTGGATCTATGAACACGAACATGCCATTACCCAAAGATCCAGTCAGGGAGAAGGACACCTTTTCGCACTTATCAAAATTTGGAAGGGAGATTTATAGCCAGGTCTATGAGAATGCTTCATAGCCATTCATAAATTCATTCAATGAGTATTTGTATATTTGTTGAGTACTTACTGTGGGCTAGGATCTGGGGTTAGGTACAAGGGGATATGCAAGACATTAAACAAACAGCTACAAAGCAAAGTGATGAATGTTATAATGAACGTAGCTCCGCATGCCATGGGGGGTGGGGGACAGAACAGAAGGCAGTTTACAGCGGGAAGAGGACAGTGTAGGACAGCTTCGCTAAGGAGAGAACATTTGATTTGGGTCTTAAAAGGAGGCACAAGAATNTAAGTACAAGCATGCATTGGTAGAAGATTCGGGCACATCTGGATCTATGAACACGAACATGGCATTACCCAAAGATCCAGTCAGGGAGAAGGACACCTTTTTGCACTTATCAAAATTTGGAAGGGAGATTTATAGCCAGGTCTATGAGAATGCTTCATAGCCATTCATAAATTCATTCAATGAGTATTTGTATATTTGTTGAGTACTTACTGTGGACTAGGATCTGGGGTTAGGTACAAGGGGATATGCAAGACATTAAACAAACAGCTATAAAGCAAAGTGATAAATGTTATAATGAATGTAGCTCCGCATGCCATGGGGGGTGGGGGACAGAACAGAAGGCAGTTTACAGCGGGAAGAGGACAGCGTAGGACAGCTTCGCTAAGGAGAGAACATTTGATTTGGGTCTTAAAAGGAGGCACAAGAATTAACCCTCTAAGAGGAGAAAGAGCCTCCCTGGCAGGGAACCAGGGTATGTAAAGGGACGGAGGTGCTGTCACTTCCAGGGCTTCGTATAACTTCGTATAATGTATGCTATACGAAGTTATTACGGGATATACCATGTTGGTACGCTAAGATGTGGAGCTTCACTTTCAGCCTGTGACAAATTAACCAGTGAACCAGACTATAATAACAATTACTACTTACCACATATCATGACCTCAGTGATCTTATTTAATCCTTAAAACAGTGGATCTCAACCTTTATTTTTATTTATTTATTTTTTTGGTGGCTGGCCAGTAAGGGGATCCAAACCCTTGACCTTGGTGTTACAAGGCTGCGCTCTAACCAACTGAGCCAACCAGCCAGCCGGATCTCAACCTTTAGTGTGCATCAGAACCACCTACTGAAACACAGACTGCTGGCCCTGCCCCCCGATTTCTGATTCAGTAGGTCCGGGGTGGCGCCTGAAAATTTGCACACCACCTCTGTCTAGATCCAAAGCATTTTCATTTCTTTTATAAAAGGAAACCTCATACCCATTAAACAATTACTACCCTTCCTGCCTCCCATCAACCCCTGGCAATCACTGAGCTGCTTTCTGTTTCTATGGATTTTCCTATTCTGGATAGTTCATACAAATGAAATCAGAGAATATGTGACATTTTGTGTTTGGCTTCTGCTATGGCCTGAACGTGTCCCCCAAAATTCATGTGTAGGAAACTTAATCCCCAATGCAACAGTGCTGGAAGGTGGGGGGGTTGGAGAAGTGTTTAGGTCACAAGGCCTCCACCTTCATGAATGAATTAATGCTGCTATATATAAAGGGCT